TTGACTTCAGGCTTCACAGAGGGAGAGGAGCATCAAATCGTAAAAGGTCGGTGTTTTAAAGATGTAAAAAAGACAGACACAAGGGTAGATGAACGGTGAGGTGAGTACTGTGAAAATAGTCGAATATGACATACAGTGGGGGTCATGATAGCTTGAACTCAGAAGTCAACTGCCGGTTTATAGACTTTTTGGCGTATGAGTATACGTTGCCCAGGGTGCACCACATGGAGGTAAGTCTATTGGACACCCCACGGCAATCATTAATTCTCTTAGAATAGCGAAAGATTCAGTTTTGTAATGTCTAACGGTTTTAACTTTTCAGAATCATTCAGAGGAAGCTGATAAAGCTATTTATTCAGCGGAATGTGAAGTTGTTAAACCACCGAATACTGGCGAAGTAGTTGCCAACGCGGCCATTGTCGAGGAGGAATATATTTCAAATGAAGAGGAGGAGGAAGGAGGTTCCGAATGTTCTGATGAGATTGAGCAGGAGGTGGATGACGAAGAAGAAGAAGAAGAAGAAGAGGAGGAGGAAGAATCCAGTGCAGAAGAAACTGCCGATTGGGATCCGATTGATGCTAATGAGGATAAATCGAAGTTGGAACGATTTTCACTGCCCTCTTATCTACATCCAGTGGCTGGTATGCTTGTTGTCTCTCAGTATTTTATTTTCTAATTGATAAGGTTGAAATAAGAAGCATTTAACTATTAAAATCTGTTTTATTTTTGTGCTAAAGTAATAGAATTATTTTAAAACATGCCTCTATAACCTGCATTTTGTTGTCCATTTTGCAGTGATCAATTACAATATCAATCTAGGATCTGAATTATATCTTTTCAATTTTCCAATTTTTTGCTCTTAAATTTGAACTCAATTTTTTGTTCTCGCTAAACCATTATAGCTATTCATTTGGTTTGTCTTTAAGCAACTTGGCTTTTGTGCTACATTAGGGGCCAAATATTAGCAGTTTCCTTGCCAATTTTTCCTTAATTACCTCATGTCAATGTCTTTGCATTGACAATTCCTTTTAATCCAACCATTTTTTCTGCTATATTTTTCCCATAACTACCTTATCATCTGTGACCTCTCATGTCTCTAAGTGCGATCTCAAACCACAACAACACCCTCCACCCCCCCTCCCCCACACCCGTTATTTCTCCCAGTTCTGAAGGCTCGAGAATTCCTTTACCTGTTGACATTGCCTTTTAATCTCATTAAGCTGCATCTAAGCTTGCAATTTTTTAATTTCAGAAGTTGCTTGTATTTCTGATTCTATTGGGCAAAAGTTTCAGCAAACTTGCATTTATTGGGAATTGGATAGATGTGTCTCCTTTTAAGTGCAATTTCATTCACAATTACTGCCTGATATATAGAACAAATGAGGCACTAAGTGTGCCATTATAAATCAAAAAATTGTTAAAAATATTTAATTTATCTTAACACAGTAGTTAGTAATGATTTTGAACTAATATTGTTGCTCAACGATTCCTCCATAATTGAAATATGAGCTTCTTGTGAAGTTTACTAAAATCCTTAGACGTCACTTGAATATATTTGCAAAAATGAGGTTCAATCAGATTGTCACAACCCAAAATGATTCAGCTTTTCCAAATTTAACTGAAAATTTCGGGGCCTTTTGAACGCTGATGATTCACATTTAGTCAACGTTCTCTTCCTCCTCTCAGGCGTCTTATAAATTCATTTTCTAAGTAGGGAACTTGGTGGAGACCTGCAGGGTGACCTCGGACACCCAAATTGGATAAGCATAATTTCGTCTTCTGTGTAAATAGGCGTTGTTTTCTATTTTTAATAATAATAATAATAATCTTGATTAATTTATTTCAAGCATGATTGTGCGCCTCTTTATTCTAACTGGACGCGCATGCTCCCTTATTAGCTGTAAATATGACCCTGCGAAGGTGAAATTTTATTGCCATTTTATCATTAAGCCCCAATTGGTGTCTCTTTGCGGACTGGGTAAATTTTATTATCCCCAACAAAGAAAAGGCTTTCAAATTTCAACCACTGAGAAGTATCTAGATACGCTAACCAATTAAATCGATTCTTGGGGAGCGTGGGAAGGCGTTCGAATGAGCCAAGACATCAAGCACTTCACTTTTTGCAGCAGTTATAGTTCATTGGGCTACTTTCCCTGTCAAATTTCAAATTAGTGGGGTTTGGCCCCAAGATCACCAACTTCTGACATGTTTGTCCTCAGATCGAGCAAGTAGTTCTCGTTAGCTAAGGTGACTGTAGGAAGCACTTCCAAGCGAAAAATGGCTCCCAAATTCATAGAGAATGGAATGTTTGTTCAGATGCAGTAAGCCAGTGGTTATAAGCGTGTTTCTCTCGTTAAATGGCACGAATTGGGAAATACATTGGCACTCAACCAATGACGTAACTTCGCCATTCGCCCTGACTGATACTGATTTACAGACACTTGGAGATTTCATTAAGCAGCTTACGAGAGTGCGTAGTAGTCTCCCTCTCCCACTTCATCATAGCATCCAGCTGAATGGAGCCCATTTAAATGCACGGTGTGTTATAGCTTAATTGAATTATTATTATTATTAGTAAAATTGACAGATTTTTTTCTAAAATGCAGAATGTGTAGTTGTGTGTGTGGGGGTCAGCGTTGCGATGCGCCCCGCGCCACTCCAGTTGAGGAGAAGAGAAATGATTAACTGCGATTTTAAATTTTAACGTTCTATTTAGGGTGATTGGGTATACACATTTTACTCATTTACCCTTGTAGTGAATTTAACGCTGACTTTTAACCGAGGTAACGCGCCTGCTCTTTGAGGCAATTTATCAAACTCTCGCACACATTTGCGGATTTTGTTTTACTCTGCATGGTGACGATAAATGAATGGAAAATTTCACCGTGTGTGTTGGTCCAAGGTCGGTAGTTGTGTAGTTAGCTCGATACTGGGCCATGGTTATAGCAATCTGTTTGGATTCTGAGAAGTAAGGCATTATTAATGATTGCTCAATGAAGGCCCCTTCATCTTGTCTAGAAATTGGTTTTTTTGGGGGGGGTTGATTGTGGTTACCTTAGATCAAATGACCTCATTCTCTGTCGCGTGATTATAAGAACAGAAAAATCGAAACGTTCACTGCTCACAGAATGAACCCTGTTCACATAAATAGTTTTGATTTCGATTAAGAGCATTGGAAATATCTTATCACGTATTTGGAAACGACCCCTTCATCCGCTTCGCTGTTCTATATTTATTCAACCATAGATCACAATTAAACCTTTAAAGCCTTAAGGACTGTTCGATCCTCTTTCAAAATAATCTCATTTGGTACTAGATTCGTAACAGAAGGCACTACTATTGTCGTTAGAAACGTGTTCAATACATGTCTATAGCCCTCGCCTGTTACCACCAAAATCCATCACGTAGGCGGGAACCTTCTGCTGTGTGACACGCGCGAGTGCGGTAGGTTTCAATTCCCCTCCAAAAAAACACAAACATTTCGGACGTTAAAAGGTGAATTCACTCTTTAACATACCATCGATGAAGTTCGAACCCAATGTCATCTGATAGCTGACACGCAGCAGAATCCTAGCTGATCATGAAGATAACTCTATTATGCGCGCATCCCTTATACCCATAGTATGTGTTGTAGTACAGAAAAAAAATGTTTTTTTGGATTCAAATTCAGTCTGGGAGATTTTATCGCCCCCCTCCAGTGGTTACTATTGTTTGATCTCTCAATTGGTCAGCTGTCTTCTTTTTCTACTTCTATTTCAGTCAATGATGCTGGTGTATATCTTCTCGAAGACGGCCATTTCTTCTATCAGACCGATGGAATTAAACCCCTACCAGATTCCCAAAAACGACCTTCTTCACCGCAGATAGAGGAGAACGGCACACTGGAGGAGGCAAATTCGAATGTTGAAGGCTCTCCAAGCCCTTCGAAAAAGCGAAAATCAGTCAACTTTAGCATGGCGCCTATCACTGTAAGCCGGATTTTATTAACCACTTATTATCTGCCGCATACCTTTCTGGGGTGGGGGGGGGGGGGGGTTGTCTTCACCTGATTAGGTCAACTTTCGAAGATTGATGTGTCATCATATTAAGTTAAGTGGGTGATCACATTTGCCTAAATTGACATGACAATTACAAATTCAATTAGTCGTCTAGGTCACTTTCTCATTCACTATGCTGGTTTTGTCATATTCCGAAATTATATCATGAGATCAACTCTAAAATGTCCTTTCTCACTCTTTTGTTCCCCACCTCTATAGAAACATTCGGGGGAGGGGGGGGTATTTCACTTGCTAACTTCTAAAAATTTCGCATAAACTTCTGCGATGCTCTTGGTGCAAGACGTAAACGAAACAGCCAACTCTCTTGAGAGAGAAATGCGGAACCGCCAACTTCTTTGGAAAGTCCACATTGGAGAGTGAAGATCGAGTTTCCAACTGCCTACAGTTAGGAAATTTTTGTGACTTGGCTTTTCAACGATTGTCTATTTTCTTTTTTTACTTTTCTGATAATCCAAGGTCACATTCTAATCCTGCGATGTAATTTGCTTCAAGAGGGGGGTATTTTTTTTCAAAAGGCATATGAACAAATGTTCTCGCTGTTTCAATTAAGCGCCTTACATTGTGTCAGCTTTCGACTGTATAATTTACTATTTTCTGGCAATAACACAATTTAGGGCTTTCAAAGACCCTATTTCTATCTTGTGCAACCCCTCATTTGCTCTTGTTTAGAGCCGCATTTACTCAGACTCAAAAGTGGGGTTTAGAGGAGACGACTTATAGCACAGACTATCTCTTTTGTGGTAAAATTCGGCAAATAGCTAGTTGTCTGCTTTAGTAATAGCTGCTACATTGTCACTTTCTCTCTATATTTATTTATATCAAATGGCAAGCATTTTGATAGTTATCATAAGCCCTTTAGTTGACTTCAGGCTTCGCAGAGGGGAAGGAACAACAAAGTGAAAAAAAAGTCGAGAGGGGGAGGGGGGGAACAGAAGAGTATTTCAAAGATGTAAAAGAGACAGACACAAAGGTAGAGTGAAAAAGGTGAGGTGAGTACTGTGGAAGTAGTCGAATATGACATACAGTGAGGTAATGGTGTTTTGAAGTCAGAAGTCAACTGCCAGTTAATAGACCTTTTTGCCGTATGAGTATACGTTGCCCGGGTGCACCACGTGGAGGTAAGTCTATCACGCACCCCTTTCTGCAAACTCAAATGTGATTGTGGTAAACCCAGTAACTGAAAATGCCGTGTTTGAGACATGCGGCTTGCGGGGTTTTGCCTCGAGTGCAAGAAGAGTATTTCTTTGGTCTTTTGTACTTATCGCCGCTGCGTTGTGCTCAAATACACTTAACCCTCTTCTCGATACTACTATCCCAGTCGAGATATTTTATCACTTCCGCTCCCTGAGTGGGTGGGGGCGGGGAGGGGTGAGGGTGAGGGTGGTGTGGAATGTTTTGTATCATCACGAGCTTATTAATAATTAAGACAATACCTCGAGGCATATTGTATCTAGACAGTTTTTGTTTTATTGTTTTTGCATATTTTTTTACTCACTTTCTATTCTTTTGCTAAATCTGTCGCAATTGAAGTCCCATTGTATTGTCCCATCCGTTTTTTTCCTGCATGCACTAGGTATTTATAAATAATTTGCTTTAATTATGGTCCAATTAACCGGAGGCCAGTAGGCTTGGTGGCAAAGTATCGAGGTTCATAGACTAAGGCGATCCTGAATTTCCAAGGCCTTGTTCTAGGCGGGGGGGGG